GATATGTGTGCACAGGCAAGTTATAGCATCAACTTCCAGATTTTCAGTTTTCATGTATTCTCTTTCACAAAATTAATCTGATCCTTATGTGCCTAAGGGAGTATTTATTTTCCTTTCTCAACTACCTTTCTTTTGCCTTTCTCCCACTTTACAAAAAGAGGGCACACTTTCACATCCTGACTCTTCCACATTGCCGTTCTCCAGGGTGATAACACCTCTGCCGGTCAGAGACTGTTGGAAGTCATTGTAAGGGCTGAAAAAATAAATGACTAATGACAACAAATACTTTGACAGGTCAGGTGGTTTCCAAGTTTTGCTTTTAGCAAAAGTAAAGGAGCTCCAGTTGAGTTGTCAACTAACAGATCAATTAAAATATTTTTGAAGATAGATGCTTAAGTGATTTGGGACTATAATTCAGAAGGAAATAGAAGTCAAAAAGAGAGACATCGCTACAATGAAGTATATTTAATTATTACCCACTTATTTAAGTGAAGGTTTTTCTCAGCCCTTGTAAAAATACAAAACAGGAATATAGTTGATTTTAACCCTGACTCAGTATAGCCCTCGGTAATATTCATCTCTGGATATATGGAGACCAGGGTTGGGGGGGTGGGTGGGAAGGGAAGTTATTTCATTGAGATCCATTTCCTAACACTTCCCTTTTTATGTTTATTAATTATCAAATCTATGGTAAGTATTTTGATCAATTTTATAGTAAAAATTTTACTGATAACTGAATCCAGAAGTTACCATTTTAACACTTAGAGATTTAGGCCACATTGAAAACAGATTTAGTATATATATATATATGTATATATGTGTGTTGTTTATGGCAGAGAAGTATGATAGGGTAATAAAAGATTTCAAACACAAAAATGTATTAAAATAAAGTTATGTTGGGGAAATAGTATGTAAATAGGAAAAGGAACTAAAATTTTCACCTGTTCAAGAAGATTCAGTCTATGAATTTTTAAATGGACAGTGATGGGTTTCATAATCACTCTGGTATTTAGGTTCCACTGGATGCATTTTAAAAAGTGGTATAATTTATATTTGAAAATGTCAATTTTTATAGTATGCTGGAAATTAAGTTCTTAAGTCTATGGTGAAGATTTTGATGTCAGTTTAAAACGTGCCAGAGGGTACATAGTTTTTTTCAAAATGATACCCGTGGAGGTACGAGCAAACATCTGTAGGTTACTGGTCTTGTGGGTCCCAGTTCTCCTGGCTGCTGAGGTACTTGAACTTCTGTCATCGAAGACCAGTAAGTGGAACAGCTTCAGACTCCTCATGAATCTTGAGAGGAGTGCTGGAGTGTGGTGCCTGGTGAGTGTCTTCTTAAGTCCTTTAATGTACGCTCCCTGTATTATCTGCTGGGCTACTTGTCTATCCATTTAGAGCTTTGGACTTGAGTAACCATTGACCTGGGAGGCCCAGAGGCATCATCCTTACCAGTGCACTGGAGTGTGAGTGTGTGTGTCTTTGTGCGCATGTGCTAGGAAGAGGGGAGGTCACTGGTAGTTGGGTGGGGGGGGGTGGGTATGGTGCTGAGACCCACATTAATATGCAGTTTTGCTTTCTCAGGGGTAGGAAGCACCATCCTGAGCAGTCCCTTCATCAAGTGGTCCCATTGCAGGTGCTCCAGGCAGCATGTATCAGGCTATTCCGATTGTTAGGAGCAGTGGGAGGCCAGGGCACTGACTCTAGTCCAAGGTTGGGGTGAAAATTCTCTCTCTCCCTGTGGTATGCTGCTAGTGCTACAGTACAAAGGTCTCACGCTTTGTTAGACTTTAAAGTCAGCCAGATTTTGAATCAGGTACTTCTGCTTAATAGTGATAGAACCTTGGGTGAGTTGCCAGACTTCGGGAAGCTTCAGTTACCTAACTTCTAATATGGGGGTAATAGCTGTCCTTCACGGTAGTGATGGTTAAATAAGCTAAGTATGAAAAATGCATATTGTAAACTTATTTTATTCATTTATTTATTTTTTAAAAACATTTTATTTATTTGTCTGACAGAGACCACACGTAGGCAGAGAGGCAGGCAGAGGGAGAGAGGGAGAAGCAGGCTCCCCGCCAAGCAGAGAGCCCGATGTGGGGCTCGATCCCAGGACCCTGGGATCATGACCTGAGCTGAAGGCAGAGGCTTTAACCCACTGAGCCACCCAGGCACCCCACATATTGTAAACTTATGATTAGTAATTTTTATTATTAGGGTGAGGTGGGGTGGGTGGATTAAGTTGTAGGTAGAAAGGTTTCTCTGAGGAGATAAAGCCTAAACTGGCCCCTCAGCAGAGAGTAGGGGAGTCAGCCAGGTTTTAGGTGGGCCATTGTAGGTCAGAGGAAAGGTCATTATAGACAGAGGGAGCAGTTTATCCTGAGACTGGTAAAGGCTAAAGAAAACTTATTCCAGGAAGTGCAAGGACTTCAGTAAGGTTGCATACCGGTTAGGAGGAGTCAGAAAATTTTTTTAAAGCAAGGTCTTATTTCATCCAGTTGTTAGAGAATGAGAATAATTTCTGAAGATTGCTGACTCACTCTGCCAGAGTGTGTGTATGTATGTGTTGTGTGTGTGTGTATGTATGTGTTGTGTGTGTGTGTGTGTGTATTATTTTTTTTTTTTTTTTAAGATTATTTGAGAGAAAGCAAGGGCAGAGGAAGAGGGAGAGAGAAGCTTTAGCAGCTTCCCACATGGGGCTTGATCTTAGGACCCTGAGATCATGACCTGAGTTGAAACCAAGAGTCAGATACTTAACTGACTGAGCCACCCAGGGGCCCCAATAAGTATATGTTTTTAAATCCAATGAGGCTTTCTCCCCTAGGGTGCTTTAGTGAACTTTATCACATTATACTTGACACATATAATCTGCCACGAGCCACACCAGATTACTTTTTTTTTTAAAGATTTTATTTATTTGACACAGAGAGAGAGACAGCAAGAAAGGGAACACAAGCAGGGGGAGTGGGAGAGGGAGAAACAGGCTTCCTGCCAAGTAGGGAGCTCAATGCGGGGCTTGATTCCAGGACCTGGGATCATAACCTGAGTGGAAGGCAGATGTTTAACCAACTAAGCCACCCAGGTACCCCAGATTACTTTTAATTACCCAAATGCACTGTCCTCCTTCATACGTACTGCCTGTGCTATTGCCTTTGTCCTTCAACTTCCCTTCTCATTTTGTCCTATGGTATTTCTCCTTATCATTCAAGATTTAACATATTGCATAATACACAAAAATAGTGTTCCTAAACTAACAATCCTTTTATATACAATAAGGTTAAAAGGAAATATGCAAGAATAATAACCTGTACTGAGGGATCAGAAAGAAAATGTGACTAATTGGAGAAACATTGTAGTCAGGGTTGGAAAGACTAAATACAATAAGGATGCTAATTCTCCCCAATTTTACTGCATTTAATATAATCCTAGCCAAGATGTCTATCTATCTACACAAATATTTTATAAATTATTTTAACTGACCCAACTGATTCTAAAGTTCATCTGAAAGAATAAACATTCTAAAATAGCTTTGGAAATTCTGAAGAAAAAAAAAACAGATTTGCTCTGTTAGATATTAACCAATTGAAAATACCCTACCATTGTTAGCTAATGGGACAAGCCACTCCAATCTGTATGAATTAAATTATGTTTCTTACTATTACTTCTCTGTTACATGAGTCAGAACCCTGGGTAAATTTTCATCCCGTTTTGAGGGTAAGATTAGGATGGGCTGAAATAAAAGTTACTACCATAACATTTGCAGATCTTCCCTTGGGTCCATTTTAATGCTAATTCTGAATGCTAATTCTCAAAATGCTAATTCTGAGTTCCTGCTTCTAGTCTACTATATCAGAAAATCCTGGAGTAGGGTTTAGCAGTCTCCTATAGACACTTGATGCATGCTAAAGTTTGCAAAATACATTCTTAAAAAAAGAGGTTGTCATCTTCCAGAATTCCTGAAACAGACAAACTGGGCTCCCATGATGGTGGACCATCATAGTAAGAGGCAGTAAAGGAGAAAGCAGTTTCACGTATTAGCCCCCAGTTGAAATTCACCTGGCACAGTTCCAGTCGCAGGTGTTACATTTCAATCCAGCCATTTCTCACATAGTCAACTCCGGGGTGAGTAGCAGCTGGAATTTATTTAATTGACCATGGTTAATGAGGCTACCAAATAACTCAGCTAGGAAGGTCAGCTTGTAAATAAATATTTCCTGCTGTATCATATGTCAGTTGATGTGAGCTTGTGACTGTTAAGAGCTCTAACTGTTGGACTAAATAAAAAATTAGGAAAGAAAATCTTCTGGTGAAGGCAGGAAGGTGGCGGGTGGGTGGTACTGTCAATCCATAAGTGATTTTTAAACCATCCTTGGTTTTGTATCATCTGAACCACTGATTGCCTCACTAACTCTCTTACTGTAGAGTTCACTATAGTTAGTTTTCCATGCTTTTATTTCCTGAGAGGAAGACTTTAACACTCACTCCTCCAAATGCCCTTTAATGATAGTACTTTTCCCTCCAATAGTAACAGTCTCAGGTTTTAAATTTTTTCTTCATGAAAAACATTTGTGCAAAGAATGATTGACAGTCTATTTTGATGTATTCAGAGGTATGAAAAGACAGGCTGTGTGTTTTTGGCAAGATGTTCTGCAGGAAGGTACTAGGCTGAGGCAGGTGAGGCATTCCTCTCTGGTGCAGAATTTAAGGGACCCCTAAAACTCAATAATCAAGTAATACTTTAATGGGTATAGTTGATACAAAAGAAAGAAAACCCATGATGAATAAAATACCAAAGTTTTAAATAAAGTCAGGATCATGACTGTGGTAGGTTGACCCATATTGGAACCTATGGCAAAAGAGCAAAGCCAGTGATAGTTACCTTGACTCTGAAAAAAATCACAGGTAAGTGTGAAACTAGGACCCCGATCACTTGATTAGTAATATAAAATTGTGTTTGTATATATAATATTAATACTGTTTTGTTTTTCATCTTCTGTTTCTAGGGATATACTAATATCACCATCATGCTGGCAGTATGCTATCCTTCTTAACCGATTCAATTATTCCTTTGAACTGGAAAAAGATTTACATTTAAAGGGCTATCACACACTCTTCCAAGGATCTTTACCCTACTATCCTAAATCAATGAGGTGTTACCTTAGCAGAACTCCAGACAGAATGCCTTCAGAAAGACACCAAATTGGAAATCTAAAAAAATATTATCTCCTGAATGCTGCCTCTCTTCTCCCAGTATTGGCTCTGGAATTAAGGGATGGCGAGAAGGTTCTGGATCTCTGTGCTGCTCCTGGAGGCAAATCGATAGCTCTGCTGCAGTGTGCTTATCCAGGTAGTGTGCTTTTCTTTCAGTAATTGACAACTTTTAAATATCCATGTATTTCAAAATACTTTCAGAATATATGGGAAGAAGTATAAGATTGCGTTTGCAGACTTTGAAAATCTGAAAACCAGGAGAGTATGTAGAATGGAAGTTTTAGCTGAGGAATCAGTGTAATTTTTTTTTTTTTAATTTTCAGCTATGTACTTGCAGGTCATTTTGAACAAAACAATCATATTTTGTAAACAAATCTGTTAGGTAAGATGAATCCTGATCAGCCAATAACAAAGATTTTTTATTTTATTGTTGACTTTTATACTTGAGAGTCTTGTATGATATCATGCTTCTAGGCAACAAAGTATACACATTTAAAGTCGTTTTTTTGTATCATTAGACCGTAAGGTTATAAGGCAGTTTTGTCTAATAGAAATATAATGTGAAGTGCACGTAAAATTTAAAATTTTTAAGTACTCGTTAAAAAAAGTAGAAACAGTTGAGTTTAATTTTAGTAATAACATTGTGACCCAGTACATCCAAAATATTTCAACATGTAATCAAAATAAAAGTTATTAAAGAGACATTTTGCGTTCTTATTTTCTTACAAAGTCTTCAAAATGGGTATGTATTGTACAGCAGCACATTTCACTTTGGACTAGCTGTCTTTTAAGTGCTCATAGCCACATGTAGCAAATGGGTATGATGTTAGACAATGCAATTCCTTTTTTTTTTTTTTTAAGATTTTATATATTTATTTGACAGAGAGAGAAAGAGCATAAGGAGGGGGAGCTGCAGGCAAAGGGAGAAACAGGCTACCTGCTGAGAAGGGAGCCCAGGGTGGGGCTTGATCCCAGGACCCTGGGATCATGACCTGAGCCGAAGGCAGGCACTTAACTGGCTGAACCACCCAGGATTCCCTGCACAATGCAATTCTAAGACTTTGAAAAGTGTTTTGGAAGTAACTTATCTTTACCATTATTAGTATAAAAATGGTGAAATGTATGTAAATGTACATTTTTATATTTGTTAAAAGTAATGAGTCAAGCAATAGCATAAATTATTTTCCTAATTAGATAATAGGACTTTTTAAAAAATTACTTCAGATTTCCCTGGATAAATATTACTTATTGCTTGGTGGGATAGGGTTCAGCATCAGTTATGTCTGATTTTTGTCTGATGGTTTTTATAAATGCAGATGCTGTTTTTTATTATAGATGGTGATGGAAATGGTGGGAATTATGTTATAGTAGTTTCACCAAGCTCTTCAAATCTTGAGTTATGACCCCAAATGTCCATAAATATTTTTCTTTAAGCATTATTTTAATGATCTGCTAAGTAAGCACCAGCTTTTGATTTTGTTGAAGGGAAAGGGTTACAAACCATCTCAGTTACTAAAGGCTACTTTGCCTAGTTGTTTAATTCATTCACTTTCTTAGTCAAGGTACCCATGTGTTTACTTGCCTTTGTTTGGTCCTTTGTAAATTTCTATACCCTGCCACAGTTTGCTGTAATAAGATTCTGGATGAGTGGGAAACATGCTTCTCAGTTAGAAGGTTGGTGAAGTGTCATTGTGAAAGGAGAGGCCCTGACGGGAGATGTGCTTTAGGAAGTTGATCTGAACATTGATTCTTTTAAAACTATCCAACTTTGCTTATTATCCCTTAGAAAGTTGTTAGTATCCCTAGTTTGAAGACTGCTAATTTATATCTTCCTTTGAGAGCACTCCCTGTTGAAATAGATTTCATAAACTTTTAGGACAACTGTGAATCCAGTAGTATTAGGCGTTGGTACAAATTTATCAGTTAACTATGTATTTAGGAGGAAACATACTGTGTGTTTTAGAGTTGTTATTAAAACTCTGTTATTGAAGCTTGCTGTATTTTTTAATGTAAGAAATCAGAACAAAAGAGGTAATTTTGTAACGTTAATTTTATTATTTTTATAATTTGAGCTGAAGATTTATGGAATCGTGATAAGGAGTATTTTTACTTTCATTCTTGTGTTCTTTGGCAGTATTCTTATTTTGTCTTATCAGTTTTGAATAGAGAATTTTTAGTATTGTAAAAAAAAATGGAAGAGAAATATCAAGTTTGGGTGCCATGTTAAAGAGAGCATTTTAATCCTAAATTATTCTTATTAGTAGGCTGTATTTCACATGCTTATGATAGGGAAGCTGATTTGATTAGGAATACAAATGCAAACTGATATATCCTAGGAGTTTGAATTAGAGAAGAATCTTACTGTTCTTACATCAAGGGCAATGAACTATAGGCACTGTTCCAAGTAAAGAAGCTTTTCATCATTAGGACTAATGATAATGGTTTGGTAAGAAGTACAGAAGTCTTCATGCTGATGCTCAAAGCCCAGATTAGGTTAGCTACACGGCTTGAATTTGGAATGCGGAAGCAATACTAAAATAAGCTTTTAAAAACAAAACCTAAGATGATGGCTGCAACTAAATGTGCATTTATACAACAAATTTCTTTAGATCACTACTGGCCTTTATTCTGGGCCAAGAGGCTCACAGCTTTGAATGATTAAGAAGCTCATATTTTAGGATGATTAAATTAGTTTATTTCTCTTTTGGTCCAGCTGCTCCCACCTGTTGACACAGTGACAGATTATCCATTTTTTTTGTTTTGTTTTTATTTTTGTTTTTGTCAATACAGGCTTTGTTATGTCCTTGTCTTGACAGAAGAAGAGAAAACAATTCTGATTCTAAATAGGAAGGCATTAACAAAGCAAGAGTGACCCAGCTTGGTGGAGTGGTTTGTTCACCTTCCTTGCTGAGGGCTTTATTCATGAAATTTTCTTTGCTGTCCCTGATACATTCTCGACATCTAGTTAGCCTTTGGTGGTAGAAAGGATTAGAAAGACTCCTTGTTTTACTGAATTGCTTTTATCCTGCTTCCTGCTCCCTTAGGCCTCCAAACCTTCTGCATACTCTATGGGTAACACTTTCCTCCCCCTCTCCTCCCCTGCTGACCCCCCCCCCCCCCCCCAATTCTTCAAGTTTTCACTCAGGAATCAACTTTCCTAGAAAGCCTTCCAGAACTCCCTGTATTAGAGGTACTTTTTATTTTGGTAGTAATAAAAACATTTCAGAATAACCTAATATGTGCCAGGGACTGTAGTAATCACATGGCATAAATCTGTGTTTTCAAACATTTTTTAGTAGTCTTTGCTTCCAGCATCTTACGCTGTATTTCTGTATATACATGTTTCTGAAGCCCTAGGGCTCTGAGGAACACAGTGTGAGTATCATGGTGTATAGATCTTCTTTAACCCTGCAGCACCATTAGTTGGGCATTATTATGCCCACTTTAAAGATGAAATCAAAACAAAGAGAAATTAATCGAAATTGCCCTAGGTAAGTAGCAGAGGTGGGATCTCAACTCAGGTTTTCAGGAATGTGCACGTGACTCTGTTTTGAGGTCTCCTAATGTTACTCAACTGCTGACTTTTCCAGCAACCTTCATTAGACAGCTTCTTGAGAATAGGGGAGGTTCTCACTTACCTTTGTGTCTGCAGCTACTAGCACCATACCCAGTCTATAACAGGTACTTAGGAAACCAGAATCTTGAAGTGGTTGTATTCTCAAGTGTATTTTAGTCTGTTGTCAAACATGTTCTAACAAATTTGTTGTTAAATTTGTTGTGAAGTTGTAACATTGCTTCCAGATATCCCAAAGAATCTTACCATTAGCTTTCATATCACTTCTAATATATGGACAATACCATTATTCCAGTTTTTACATTGAGAGCAACATATAATTCCTCAGATAATCATGATTATGGCTTATGGCTCCAAGGAATAATTAACAGAACTGAAAATAGGCATAATTGTTTTTTTTCCAAGTTAGTTGCATCAGAGTAAATTAATGAATGACAATACCAGCACAGTTTCTTTCCATGGACCAAAGGCTGCCTTAAACAGATGTAAAGCCTCAATGACTTACTCAAATATTTTTTTTAAATTCACCCCCTTTCCTGCTTAGATGAATAAAATACCAAGATTTGGCTTATTTTTGGCAATTTAAACATGAAGTTAATTCTGTTTCAATATAGTAAGTTTTAGTAGTTATATGAAACTTGAGTTGTGATGTCTTATATTACATATTTTAAAAAGTTTAACCAATCTAAGACAATTTCAAATAAAATCTACATCTAGGACAAACAATATAACATAAAGCTATATTTTAAGTAAGAGACTTCTTTTAAAATGCTGAATTAAGAATCTTGACTAAAGTTGTAATTTAATGAAAAGCTAACTTGATTTTCACTTTTAATAGTTTAAATATTCATATGATGCCATGTTTCAAATCAACTCAGCCACATTAGTGAGCACATACTATGTGTGCAAGGCTTTGGATAGTAGGTATGGAGCTGTGAAAGATGCAGAAGTAACTAAGACTTTGGATTCTTATAGAATGACAGACTAGGTCTTCTAACCAACTCCTGGTGAAAACAACTCCTGCTGAAAACAAATGTAGCATATGATATTAAAAACAGAATCTTTTTAAATGCATTGGTGATCTCCAAATATTCAGTGACCAAAATCTAAGAGATAATGGGAACCCAGAAGATCAATTGAGCATCAAAGCTAGCTTTTCAATTATGAGCATTTGCTTAACCTGAAAAACTTGAATGTTGATATTCATTGCTTCATGAAAATATGGGGAAAAAAGACAAAGCCAGAGCTTGCCCAAGAGAGCATCTGCTAGGAGGTTAACTTACAGAAAGCTGAGATCCCAAAATGGTATACCCTCCATGTAAGGTAAACTAAGAAGAAATTGTTCTATCCCAAGGGACTAAAAAAGGAAACTGTCTGTTTTCAACTTTGATAATGGAGGAGGAATGGAAATAACCTCTGAAATTGTGGAAGCACAGCTAAGCCAGTGAGGACCATTATAGTGAAGTTGCAGAACATTGAAAAAGAGATCTTAATAGCAGCCAGAGAGGACAGATAGTTTACCTTCAAAAGACAACAGACTGAGGATTGACCTTTGAGAGTAACAATGGAAACTAGCATTCAGAGGAACGATGTTTTCAATGTCCTGAGAAAAGATGACTATAAATCCAGAAATATATTCACCAAAATATCCCTGAAGAACAAAAGTGAAATGACATTTTTTTAGACAGAGAGATAGAGTATAGGTTTGTGATTCTGAAAGATGTGCTTCAGGAAAAAGGAAAGCCATTGTAGATGGATGATAAGATAATAAGAAGAAATGAAGAATAAAAAAGATGGGCAATATATAGGTAAAATCTAAAAGCCATTGACAAGAGAAGACAATGATGATAATATGTTGTGTAGTTAAAGAATGTAAGCCCAAATAAAACCCAAATATATAGTAACGGCATCTAGTTTGGGAGGGAGAATTAAAAGATTATTATATCTTTTAGGAGAAACAGGTTGACTAACTTTATATTTTTTTTTACATAAGCATGCATGTTAAAATTTTTATGTTTACCAGTAAAATAATAGAAATGGAATATAATATTTAAACCAGAAAAAGGGAGAAGTAGAGTAAAAAATAATTAAGACATGGGTCTTTCCTAGTATCTGATGGGGACAAGGTATGACTTTGGGGAGGTCTCTTGGCCCCAGTTTATGATCCAACTTAGATGTCTTTACTCCCACCTTTACTCCCATTCCTTACTTAAAGGCTTGAGACCCTTGAATTGTTTCCAGACTGGAGAAACCCTAGAAAAGATCCATGCTGTTCCTGTAGTTTTATGCTGATAGTGTTAACTGCTGTCACAAATTGAGCAGCCTCCAGATGGCTGCCAGCTGACAAGCAAAAATCACCACACCTGAATGGTTGCTGTAACTGGCCTTGGGACTCTCTGGCTTGTCTGTAGGGGCCAGATAGCACAAACCTGAAGTGTGTGGGAGTTACCAACTCTTGGAATGGACTTTAACCAACGAGAGGCAGAAGACTGGAAGATGACAGCAGATTAATTGTTCTCCCTCCTTATTCCACTAAACCCCATAGTTTCTTCTAAGGCTCATCAATTTCAGATGAGAGATGGACCAGTGCTGTAGCCCACTTGATTAAAAACCCTTTTATATTTATGCTCTGTCTTTGTATGATTTACTTCTTTTTTCTTTCACTCTAGTTTCCCTGTGGTTGTAGCCCCTCCGTAACATTAACTTTTGCCTTCAGTCATTTTGTAGTGATTTCAGGCTTTTAGACAACTGTCCATAACCTACATTAGCAAATCCTCCAGAAGCCCCTGAAATAAACATGTAAACTAAATTTAAAAAGAGTATACTACCTGTATAAATGCAACTTTAAGGTGATTTCTTACTCCTTTCTCCCCACTAACAAAATTGATGCCATCTCCTGAGCGCTTTCCATATAGAAATTGCGGTGTGGTGGTAGTAGAAAGGGTAAGCAGTGCAAGCAAACACCACTCATGAGGCAAAATATGGTTAAGTACTATGGAAGAGGTTCGAAGTATGTATGAGAAGTGGACAAGTCAGTCAGATTTGGTGGAGCACAGAGTATGTTGGTAAAACAGTGGGAGGTTAAAATTAAAAGGTTGTCTTAAGGTCTCATTATCACAGACCTTGAAATAAATCAGTAGTTTGAACTTTAATGGATGATGGGAAATCATTAAATGTTTTTAATCATGGTGTGACAATCAGAGAGAACAACCTATGTATAGATACACATATAGAGAGATGTAGATGTAGATATATTTATACATATATATATTTGAGCAAAGGGTTTACAAAAATATTTCCCCGTCTACATTAGAATTTCACCTTCATGCAGTTTTCTAGCTTTGTTTCCCTGGTAACCTAACAGATTGTCACTACGTTTCCAGGCAGTATTACTCATGATAAAAAAAGATGCTGATGGGTAAAATGCATGTGCCCTGGGAGAAAAAATAAATAAGTCCCAGAGACCTGATAGGGATTCCCGGATTGGGTCTCTCTGAGTGCCTTGATGCTTGTTATTGGGCAGTCCTCTTGTAACTGGGCATCCCTCATGGGGATCCTGGAAGCTGTGCCTCTGGAGTTGTTAGAAGAGATGTTGTCTCTGTGGCACATGAAGCTTTTAAGCCAGGACAGCTCCGACACCAATGTGAATCTTATCTTCTTGCACCTAAATTACCAGCTTACCAAAGTACAGGTCTTCATGAAAGAGGGAAGTCTCACCCTGCCCTCTTGGCAAGCTGTGGTTTCTGTCCTTTGTAGGATGATGCTGAACATGGCCTGCATAAATGTTGAGCTGAATCAGACTTGAAAATATAATGGTTGAAGGGCTACCTTAAAAAGGACCACATAAACCTAGAAATTATAAAAGTGATATGATTGACTATTAAAAAATTATGTAACTTAAGAATTAAAAAAGATAAATTCAGAAGACAATGTAAGAAACATTTGCAGATCAGATGGCAGTTAAAGGGATAATATCTGTGTAATGAAAATATGTCTTACCTGTTAGAAAAATATAAATAGTGGAACAGAAAAAAAAAAAACACAAAGGATAAGAATAGGCATTTACAGGGCGCCTGGGTGGCTCAGTGGGTTAAGCCTCTGCCTTCAGCTCAGGTCATGATCCCAGCGTCCTGGGATCGAGCCCCGTGTCAGGCTGTCTGCTCATCAGGGAGCTTGCTTCCCCTGAAGCCTCTCTGCCTGCCTCTCTGCCTACTTGTGATCTCTCTCTCTCTGTCAAATAAATAAATAAAATCTTAAAAAAAAAGGATAGGCATTTACAGAAAAGCAAAACCAAATGGTAAATAGAAAAAGAAAAAAATTACACAACATCACATCCCATTAACACTTCTTGGGGGAGTTTGGTGGAGGGACAGGGTGATATTTACTAAAAATAAAAATTCCCCTACTCTAACCTATCCATACCTCTGGAACTGTCTCATAAAAATAAAAATTTTGAAAGGACAACTGTAGAAAGGTGTTTATTGAATTTTATTTTTAATTTTTTTGTTTATTGAATTTTACTAGTGACAACAATGTGAATGCCCAATGATTGGTAATGAATAAATAAAGGATGATATATCTATTTCATATACTATTTAGCAGCCTTTAAAATTATTTATATTTCTACCAGTTGACTTGGTAGTGTTTTTTTTAAAGTATTGGCATATGTGGAGAAGAAGTCATATATAAATGTGTGGGTTGATAATATAAGTCCCTTTTGATGGGGTAGTTGGGCAGTTGGTGGAGAGGGTACATGAAGAATGAGATGAAAAAAATGACAATATGAAAATATTATATAATTCCACTTTTATCAGTTTTATATGGGTATACACAAAGAGATGTGACGTGATGGTATGATTATTAAATTGCTATCTGAACACTGGGTTTGAGGTAATTTTTGATGTTCTTTATACTTCTGTGTATTCACAAATGTATTTATTTATTAAAGATTTTATTTTTTTGTCAGAGAGAGCACAAGCAGGCAGAATGGCAGGCAGAGGCAGAGAGAGAAGCAGGCTCCCCGCTGAGCCAGGAGCCCAATGTGGGACTCTATCCCAGGACCCTGGGATCATGACCTGAGCTGAAGGCAGCAGCTTAATGAACTGAGCCACACAGGCGTCCCAAATAAATGTGCTTGTATTTATATATTATATAATTTATATTATATAATAAATACACATAAATATTTATAAAAATATACACATATATTTAAATAAAGGAAAGACAAAATAACTTTCATTAGGGAATGAACTATTTTGCTAAGTGTCTTTGTACCGAGAAGCAGTATAGCATTAAAATACCACATTTAAACTTAACAACCACTTTTTAAGGTAGCCAGTGTAGGGGAGATAAAGTTTCTCCTACATCCTCTAGGGTTTTTCACTGGGACTGACAAAAAGGGTTAGTAGAAGTAAGGCATACAAATTTTATTTAATAAAATTTTACATGTACATAGGTGTTGCCATAAGAAAATAGAAGATCCACAAAAGTGGCTAATCATAAGTGTTTATGTAGTAGGTTGAACACAGAGTGCCAGTTTTGAGAATGTTGCCGGGAGAAGACAGGAAAGATTTTTAGCAAGATCTGTACAGATTTCTCTTGGCCCAGATGCCCCAACTCTGGTGATAAGAATATTTCTTCCCTTCTGGTATAGAGAGAGTATTTTTCATATGGGATTTCATCTCCTTTTAGGAAGAAAAAGGGAGGTAAAAATGCCCTTCCTGCTATGCTGTTATTCAAGTGCCTTTAACTCAAAATAATTAACATGCCAAAATGGCATATTTTGGAGAGGCATGTTCTGAATCTTTTCACTAGTACAGTCCCCATTTTACATGTAAGGGAACTGAGACTTTTTTTAATGAAGTCATGAACATTTTTTTAATTTAAATTCAGTTAACATATAGTGTGTTATTAGTTACAGAGGTGGAGTTCAGTGATTCATCAACACCCAGTACTCATTATATCATGTACCCTCTTTAATGCCCACCACCTTTTTACTCCATCCCCCACCTCTGTCCCCTTCAGCAACCCTCAGTTTGGGAAACTGAGACTCTCAAGGAGAGCTGAGTAACTTCCCCAGAATCTGATACTTCATAATTTGAGCCAGTGTCTTACCATAGAGCTAGTAGCTCTTTATGTGCTTTCTTCCATATATTGCATAACTTTTACTTAAAATGAAAGTTTTCTGTCCTGGAAAGACATATATTTGGAGATATATATATATATAATAGAATATATCATTTACTCTTAAGAGCTTTAGGGAGAACTGTATTTGAGGTATATCTTTAGGAATCCATAATTAAATTTGAATGAGTAAATGGTCAGAGCTCCTAACAGACTGTGTAGACAAGACTATTGTGAAGGTTCTGTATGTGTGTATATTGCTGTTTTTAAAACCTTAGACGATCATAGTATTTACTTCTGTGCCCTATATCTGCATAGTTATGATGAATTGATATCTTTCTGAAATTTATTTGATCAAAAGTAAACATTTAACAAATCCATTGCATTCATTTTAAAACGTTTTCATTCTTTGCATTTAGGTTATCTTCACTGTAATGAACATGATAGTCTGAGATTGAGGTGGCTGAGGCAGACATTAGAATCTTTCATCCCACAGCCTTTGATAAATGTAATTAAAGTGTCTCAATTGGATGGCAGAGAAATGGGAGATGCCCAGCCTGAAATGTTTGACAAGGTACAGTTATTACATTGTGACAAACCGATGCACTCCCAGTGATACCATTGTTATTTTGCTTTGTTGTTGTTTTCCATCTTCTTCCAGACATAGCCTGATAAAATTTCTCAGTACTCTGGGAAATTTTGATAAAGTGAACAAGGAAGCAGTTTTCATTTGATGGTCAGCATGGTTCAAAGGAAGCGGTAACATTGGAATTGGGGATTATTGAATGTTTTTATTTCCAGGTGCCTCAAAGATACTCAGGAAAAGATCAGATGTTATTTGGGTCAGTGCACAAACATGTACGCTATATTGCTTTAATTTGGTAACAATTCATATCAGAGTATGACAGTTGAAGAAGAACATTTCAGCAAACCGAAATTGAAATGTTAGTTCTCAAAAATAAATGCTGAGAATTCAGAAATACAGTAATGTCTGTTTAAAACAAGTAACTTGTAAAAGTTTTTGCTGTAGCCATCAAGAATATGAAATACGAGTAGATATTGGTAGACTTTAAGTCCTCCTATTCCCCCTCCCCACCAAAAAAAAAAAAAAAAGTAAACACTGAAAGGACACGAGAAATTTTCCTGTAAAGTATTAGTGAAGAAATGTCATGAAGAATTTACCGTAGTATATTTTTGGTTTTAAAAGAAATGTCTTTATTAGCTGTTTTTTGTCGTATTTTACATAGCTTCTCCATGTATTTTGACTATATTCTCAATGTACGTGTGCATTATATATCCTTTTTTTCTCTAGGTGTTAGTTGATGCTCCCTGTTCAAATGATCGAAGTTGGTTGTTCTCTTCTGATTCTCAGAAGGCAACCTGGAGGATAAGCCAACGGAGGAATTTGCCCATTCTGCAGCTAGAACTCTTAAGGTGAGGGCTATTAATACAAAAGTTATTCTGGTTTCTAATGTAATTTAAGTTGGCATGAGAAATCATGACACAGAGGATTCCCCAAATGGAGCATTTCCTGTATAGGTGTTGGTAATTATTCCTCCAAAGGCTGTATTAAGAAAATTCTTAACCTTTTTCCTTCCAGCTCTCATGCTGTAAGATGCCACTGTCCCTTCCCCCACCCCCTCAATGAAATGTAGTATTGCTATGCATTGTTTTTAAAAGGCCACATATGATTTTATTGTGTTTTAAAGTTGTTTGCATATCAGGACCATCTCAAACCTAGGGGTCAGCACACTATTCTTTCACCAGAACCTGAACAGTGCCCCCATAATAGTAGCTTTGGACCAGGATGTATTTTTTTTGGTAATGGATGCATTGTTCTGGATGAGTCAGCCTCCTAGGAAGTTGCAGTTTATTGTTGACACTTATCTTCCCTTGAAGAATTTTCTAGAAGCATGTGACCACCAAGAGATACTTGGTTTTCTTCCAAATAGAGGCTTTTGGGGACATTCTATACTGGTTTCAAAAGAGATTTCTAGTTCTACCCTACTTGCAAGTAATTCCTATTCAATGCAGAACAAAAATTCTCTGGAATATTTAAAATGTAATTTAATGATGTAATACCACTTGTTACCTCTTACACGTGGAATGAGAATGATTAACTTTTTTTTATGCACTTCTGACAATGTGGTTTACTTCCAACTTCTGATTGATACACAACAATGAATACATGCCATTACCTAAGTATTACAGCTGACTAATAGGTCTTGTTCTTGCACCAGATTATGAAATCAGCTCATATGGCTGTTCTAGGTAGTACCTATCAGAGAGTTCTTCTAAACACTACTTATCTGGCAGTTAAACTCTCTATATGCTTCCAGTGTCACCTTTCATCTAGGAAACCCAAAAATATTTTGAGAATTTTATACTACTTTTCCCCTTCTACCTCTTGGATTATTAACTTTTGCATGTTGCATAGATCCTGCTATGACTTCTCACCTGAACTTTCTTGATTTGGCTTCTTAATTATTCCATCAACTCTGGGCCTTGCCATTGTTATACCTTATACCTTATAACAGACAGTAAGTTTTATGACTGCTTGTTAGTGTTGTGACCTCTGATTTATTTTTTAAACTGTGATTAAGCAACCAGGCTTTCTGAAAATGTCATTTTTCTTTCTCTCTCATGAAGAATCATCTCTTCACTTCTTTTTCTTCCTGTTCATTACCAAACTTTTTGTGTTTTATATTCTATTGCTTTTCCTTCCATCTAAGTGTAGTTCATTGTAATCTGTTTTCTGTTCCTCTTATTCTTCCAAATTTATGCTTGTTAAGGCTACTAAAGATACATTAAATTGACAAATATTTTTCAGTTTTAATTTTACTTGATCTCTTAATAGCATTTTAAAAATGTATCTTATTATATAGCTATTACATAGAAACATTTTCATTGTAAAGAACTCAAATAATAAAAATGAAGCAAAAGGCCCCTTGGTCATAGACCCAACCAAATACCAGCTTCCTTTACTGAGCTAACTGTTGCACTCGTTTGGTGTTCACTCTTCCAGATTTTTCCTGTAGCTGTTTTTACAGTTATGTGTGCATGGAGAAATACGTTTTAAAAATAACTGCTATCATTGTGTATATATTGTTCTGAAACTTATACTTGATTTTTCTTAGTTTTTTCCTTATAGATCTGCTTTGTTCTCTTCAACTTTTGTGAAATGTTAAATAGGATCAGTCTATTATATTCTATTTAATCCTCTATTTTTTTGATACATTTATCCCCCCCCCTTTTTTTTTACTTAAACCATCCTTTAATTTGTCTCATTGGACATGATACTAACATTTTTCTTGATTAAATATCAAAAGTAGAAACAAGGATCAAACATTTTAGATGTATTGAATTGCTCTCTAAAATAGCTATACCAGGGACTCCTGAGTGGCTGTCGGGGACACGTCTGCCTTTGGCTCAGGTCATGATCCCAGGGTTCTGGGATCAAGTACTGCATGGGGCTCCTTGCTCAGTGGGGACCCTGTTTCTCCTCCCACCTGCTGCTATCCCTGCTTGTGCTCTCCCTCTCTGACAAATAAATAAAATCTTTAAAAATAAATAAAATAGCTATACCAGTTTATACTTTCTATTTCATTTCTATTTCTATTGCATTTGACTATATTGACTGCATGTTCCTTCTTCTTCTTCTTCTTTCTTTTTTTTTTTTAAGATTTATTTATTTTGGGCAGGGTCAGGGGGAGAGCAAGAAAGAGGGTCTTAAAGCAGACTCTGCGCTAAGCACGGAGCCCTGCGCAGCTTGATCTCACGACCTTGAGATCATAACCTGAGCTGAAATCAAGAATCAGAGACTTAACCAACTGTGTCACTCAGGCGCCTCTGTTTGTTCCCTCTTATAGTATTCTCTTCCCTTGATTTTTGTGATGATACGCTTTCCTGATTTTCTTCCTACTAATTTTTTTTAACCTACCCTTAACCATCGCATTTATTACTCATTGCATAGTTACTCGGTTTCCTTAGGCTGCTAAGGTTGGCTCTCTATTTATCTGGTGGCTTCAACTGATATAAGATGCTATCTCTCAAGTGTGAGTGTCAGCTTATCTCCCTAGCCTGAGACCTATGTATTCAGTTATCTATGACATAATCTCTATTTGGAAGCCCCTTGGAAACATAAAACTGAATTTGTCAAGAGGGGAACTCATAATTTCTAATGCTTTTCTGCCCCCCATCAACAAAATAAAAAATCAAATAGAAACACCACTAATCTACCTCTTTTTTTCTCTCTTCTGTATCTCAGTAATTTCTATACCATCATAGATTTGCCTAAGTCAGAAATCCATCTCCAACCCCCTTTCTGTTGTACTCAAATCAATCGCTAAGATGTTTCGGTTGTACCTGTTACATATTTTTCAAGTCCATCCAATTCTATCCATCCTGAATAGCCTAACCTGAGCCACCAGCATCTGTCATCTGAATCACTGCAGCTGGCTCCTAAGTGCCCTGAAGGTCTCCAGGTGTGAGCTTCACTCCACTCTTCAGTAAAGCAAATCTGATCCGAAATGTGAATCTGATTGTGTCGTTCTCCTTTTTAAAATCCTGCAGTGGTTCCCATTACCATTAAGATATCAAGTTCTGAAAAAAAAAAACCGCAACAAACCAAAAAGAATTCAAATTCCTTAGTATAATATTCAAACTGTCTTTGGATATGTCTTCTTACTTCATTTGCCTCATTGTCTCAGGACTTCTCTTACTTTGTATTCCACCAGAGCAGTTCTTCTAACTCACCTTACAGTATTCTTTCTGAGGCCAGGGCATTTCCTTTTCCTTTTGGTTGAGAGTTCTTACTCATCCTCCCCTTTCTCTTGGCTAACTCTGGATTCTTTAGAAATTAGCTCTGACCTCTTATTGTTTTTTTTTTTTTTTTTATTTGACAGAGAGAGATCACAAGTAGAGAGAGAGAGAGAGGAGGAAGCAGGCTCCCTGCCTAGCAGAGAACCCGATGTGGGACTCGATACCAGGACCCTGAGATCATGACCTGAGCTGAAGGCAGAGGCTTTTAACCCACTGAGCCACCCAGGCAGCCCTGACCTCTTCTTATTGAAGTCTTATCTGACTGTCTAGGACTAGGATTGATATTCCCTTCTTGTCCTTACTTTAATTTAAAAATATATTGTCAGTTCCTTTGCTTAACATTTGCCTAGTACTTATCTCTTTCTTCAACAAGACTGTTACAAGCCCCATGGGAACAGGGATAGTCTTACTGTTTTTACTGCTAATACATAATTTGGTGTCTGCTATGTAGGAGGTCAGCAAATAATTATTTAAAAATACTAAATTACAAGGGCTGAGTGTTTAGAATTTAAATGTGTAATTAAATTTATAGCAAAGTTAATCTGCCAAAAATGATATAATCACTATTGTGGGGCATAGTAATTAGGCATAAATATAAAGCATTTCTGTAATTTATTTTGATTAGTATTGTTTTTATGTAACCAAAGCATGGTTTTAGTGTCAGTTTAGTTTTTTTCCTTCCAATTGGATACATTTCTCTTAACTTCATTTAGCATTTCAGTCATCATTGTGAAGGTCACGCATTTATATAAACCTCACATAGGCACCTACTTATGCCCTAACAACTACAGCTCTTCCTTAGTGGCCACTCCTCTCTCCCATCATCTTATTTCTCAAAAAGAATGGCTTTAGCATTATGTCATTTTAGTAGCATATATAAACAAGCTGCAAAACTGTCATCTCAATCACTACAGGTGTAGATTTTTATGTAGTTAGATGGGGAAGACCATCACCCCTCCCATCTCTTATTCTTTTCCTTGAACAGCTACACCCCATTGCCTATCTCTGATGCCTGGTCTGTGTGAGAGATTTGGGAGCCACCTAAATAAAGTAGTTGAAACTTTGGTTCCCTTGGCTGTGTAGTTATGATGATAATGGGGAAAGAGTGGGACATCCAAACTATAGGCACAGAGAATGGTTCTTATTCCATGACATCTACAAGTTTGGGGGTTGAAAAGATGAAAGGAAAAATGATAATTCCAGTCACAATTTCTCTTTTACCTCCTGTCCTTGACCGAAAATGAAATATATATTAATAGTAATTTTCTCATCAGGGATAGCTCTATCACTATACCACATTCAAAGAAATTTCTGAATTTCTTTGAAATCTTTCTCACCTGGTTATTGCCTTACCTTCCTTTAACAAAAGGTAATCCTTTTATTCCACAATAAGAAACAAAAGGTTTCAAATGCAAACATAGACAAGAAAGTAAATATATTGATGTATGGGTTTTAGTCACAAGTATAAAGGATTGACTGTAGATCCTTATTTGCATTTGCAAAGAGCAATTAGAAAGCAAGAAAGCAAATATTGCCTAGCCTGATATTGTGGAAAGAAGATGACACTCAGAAGGGAGAAAATGAATGGAACGGATAACTGAGAGGCAAATAAA